TTTCCCTTTGAAAGAGTTTGAGAGAGTCCTCCGGGGCTCTAGTGTTCTTTTTTAACAATGTCAACGAAATTTACGGATTCTGAAATAATTTGAAAAGATCTAGGGGCTCCAGGCCTTTTGTTTTTAAAGAATTTAAAAGAATCTTGTTCGTCCCTAATATTTTTTTTAAATATGTTGAAATAATCTTGGACGTTCCTAGTTTTTTCTTTTTAAAAGAGTTTTATAGAATCTAGGGAACCTCTCTCTTTAGGAATATGAAAAAATCTGGAAGCTACTTTTGTCTTTTAGGAAGGGTTTGAAAGAGTCCTGTAATCCTATGGTGTACTTTTTTAAGAATCTCTACGAAACTTAGGTTCACCGTGTTTTAGTTTTGAAAGATTTTGAAAAGAGCCTGGTCTCCTTGTGTTTTGTTTTTAAAAGAGTTTGAAAGACCCTTGGGGGACTCCAGTGCCCTTTTTTAAGAATGTCGACGAAATTTAGGGACTCTGAAATAATTTGAAAAGATCTTGGGGCTCCAGGTCTTTTGTTTTTCAAGGATTTAAAAGAATCTTGTTCGTCCCTAATGTTTGTATTTTAAATATGGTGAAATAATCTTGCAGGTTCGTAGTTTTTTCTTTTTAAAAAAGTTTTAATGGACCTAGGGAACCTCTGTCTTTAAGAATATGAAAAAATCTGGAGGCTACTTTTTTCTTTTAGGAAGGGTTTGAAAGAGTCTTGTAATCCTATGGTGTAATTTTTTAAGAATCTCTACGAAACTTAGGTTCACCGTGTTTTAGTTTTGAAAGATTTTGAAAAGAGCCTGGTCTCCTTGTGTTTTGTTTTTAAAAGAGTTTGAAAGACCCTTGGGGACTCCAGTGCTTTTTTTAGGAATGTGGACGAAATTTAGGAACTCTCAAATAATTTGAAAAGATCTTGGGGCTCCAGGTCTTTTATTTTTCAAGAATTTAAAAGAATCTTGTTCGTCCCTAATGTTTCTATTTTAAATATGGTGAAATAATCTTGGAGGTTCCTAGTTTTTTCCTTTTATAAGAGTTTTAAAGAATCTAGGGAACCCCTGTCTTTAAGAATATAAACAAATCTGGAGGTTATTTTCTTCTTTTAGGAAGGGTTTGAAAGAGTCTTCTAATCCTGTGGTGTACTTTTTTAAGAATCTCTACTAAACTTAGGTTCACCATGTTTTAGTTTTGAAGGTTTTGAAAAGAGCCTGGGCTACTGGTGTTTTGTTTTTAAAAGAGTTTGAAAGACCCTTGTGGGACTCCAGTGTCTTTTTTAGGAATGTCGACGAAATTTAGGGACTCTCAAACAATTTGAAAAGATCTTGGGGCTCCAGGTCTTTTGGTTTTAAAGGATTTAAAAGAATCTTGTTCGCCCCTAATGTTTCTATTTTAAATATGGTGAAATAATCTTGGAGGTTCCTAGTTTTTTCTTTTTATAAGAGTTTTAAAGAATCTAGGGAACCCCTGTCTTTAAGAATATAAACAAATCTGGAGGTTATTTTCTTCTTTTAGGAAGGATTTGAAAGAATCTTGTAATCCTATGGTGTACTTTTTTAAGAATCTCTAGGAAACTTAGGTTCACCGTGTTTTAGTTTTGAAAGATTTTGAAAAGAGCCTGGTCTACTGGTGTTTTTTTTTTAAAGAGTTTGAAAGACCCTTGTGGGACTCCAGTGTCTTTTTTAGGAATGTCGACGAAATTTAGGGACTCTCAAATAATTTGAAAAGATCTTGGGGCTCCAGATCTTTTGTTTTTAAAGGTATTAAAAGAATCTTGTTCGCCCCTCATGTTTCTATTTTAAATATGGTGAAATAATCTTGGAGGTGCGTAGTTTTTTCTTTTTAAGGGTTTTTAGGAATCTAGGGAGCCTCTGTCTTTAAGAATATGAAAAAATCTGAAGGCTACTTTTTCTTTTAGAAAGGGTTTGAAAAAGTCTTGTAATCCGATAGTGTAATTTTTTAAGAATCTGTACGAAACTTAGGTCCACCGTGTTTTAGTTTTGAAAGAATTTGAAAAGAGTTTGGGCTTCTGGTGTTTTGTTTTTCAAAGAGTTCGAAAGAGTCTTGAAACCTGCAGTGTCCTGTTTTAAGAATGTGAAAGAATCCCCGATTCTATTGTGTTTTGTTTTTAAAATGTTTCAAGAGGCCTTGTAGCTTTTGATTTTTTCTTTTTGAAAGAATTTGAATAGAATCTTAGACACCTCTAACGTATTTTTTTTTTTTTTGAAGACTGATAGAATCTTTGATTTTTTCTTTTTGAAAGAGTTTGACAAAGTCTTGGGGGCTTTTCGTGTCAATGGAACTTAGGGTTCTGTTATGTTTAGGCTCTGAAACAATTTGAAAAGATCCTGGGGCTCTTAGTATTTTTTTAAAGTGATTATAAGCATCTATTATAGGCGTTTAACGTTTTTCCAAAGAATGTAAAAAAATCTTCTGGACATTTTGTCTTATTTTTTAAGTATTTGTAAAAATCTTGGGGCTTCAGGTGCTTTTTATTTCCAGGATTTAAAAGAATCTTGGACGCCTCTAATGTTTTTTTAACTAAGGTGAAATAATCCTGGAGGCCCCTAGTTTTTTCTTCTTGAAAGTGTTTGAAAGACTCTTGGAGGACTCTAGAGTTTTATTATCAAGAACGGGGTCGAAGCCTAGTGATCCGTTGAGTTTTGTTTTTCAAAAAATTAAGAAGAATCTTAAACTCTTCTAGGCATCTTGGAAGCCCCTGGTTTTTTCTTTTGGAAATAGTTTAAAAGGGTCTTGGGGACCTGTAGTATCTTATTTTTCAGAATTTGAAAGGTGCCTGGGCTCCTGTTGTTTTGTTTTTGGAAAAGTTTGAAAGTATGTTATGGGACTCCAGTGTCTTATTTTAAGAATATTAAGGAATATTGCGGAGCCATTGTGTGTATTTTTTTTTTAATTTGAAAAGATCTTGGAGATCTTGTTTTTTTTTCATTTTGAGTGTATTTTAGACGCTTTTGAAGTCCTTTTTTTTAAGAATATGAAAGAAAAAATCTTGGACGACCATGATTCTTTCCTTTTGAAAGAGTTTGACAGAATTCTCGGGGCATCTAGTGTCTTTTTTTAAGAATGTCGACGAAATTTAGGGATTCTGAAATAACATGAAAGGATTTTGCGGCTACAGGTCTTCTGCTTTTAAAGGATTTAAAAGGATCGTGTTCCCCCCAAAGGTTTTTTTTTTAATATGGGGTAGTAATCTTGGAGGTTCGTAGTTTTTTCTTTTTAAGAGTGTTAAGAATCCAGAGAGCCTCTGTCTTTAAGAATATGAAAAAATCTGAAGGCTGCTTTTTCTTTTAGAAAGGGTTTGAAAGAGTCTTGTAATCCTATAGTGTAATATTTTAAGAATCTGTACGAAACTTAGGTCCACCGTGTTTTAGTTTTGAAAGAATTTGAAAAGAGTCTGGGGTTCTGGTGTTTTGTTTTTGAAAGAGTTCGAAAGAGTCTTGGAGCCTGCAGTGTCCTGTTTTAAGAATGTGAAAGAATCTTCCGATTCTATTTTGTTTTGTTTTTAAAATGTTTGAAGAGACCTTGGAGCTCTTGGTTTTTTTCTTTTTAAAAGAATTTGACAAAGAATCTTAGACGCTTCTAACTTTTTTCTAAAAATATGAAAGAATCTTCGTTTTAAAAGACAGATTTTAACATTTACCTAAGGAAATAAACTTGTTTGATTTCCTGAATTGCAGAGAAGAGGTAAGTTCTGTCTGAATAACTTTAGATCAATTTTTTATTCATAAAAATAAACTTCCTCGAAGTCCAAAATACAGTTTGGATGGTGAATTTAAAAAAGCTCAACATCGCTGTTACATTATTTAGCTTGATCTAGAAATATGGTCTCGACAATTTTTGATATTCAGGTGTCCCACATAAAATTCTGCGGTCTCAGATCTTGAAAACGGATAGAAATGTTAAAACTCTGTAAAGGTCGTTGTTTTTAGCTTAATTTAGTAGAGTTGTAACGTATATATTTTGCTTGTGTACTTACTTATTTCATTTTAAATTGATAAAAAAATAAAATTTATGGGTATAAAAAACTGAAGTTAAACTTTGTTGAAGAACGTTAAAATAGCTTGAACTGACTACGGGGAATTAAAAAAGTAGTGGCAATGATTAAACTTTAACTTTAGTGTAAGTTCCGCCACCTGAGCCCAAAAGGACTAATCGAATTTAAATTTGATTTGGGGGATTACACCACAATCAAGTTTATTCGAAAACGTTGAATCCAACATAAACGAAGAACTGAAACCTGAACATATTTCCGTCAGTTTTTTCGATCATCAGTTTTATATAACATGTACATAATCGTTCCGCGTCTGCGCATTCCACCCCATCTCGACCTCCGCCATATTCATTAACCCCACTTTACAACCCATTTGTGACATGACATCTTCATTTACGAAATTACCCCGTTGCGTTTCTCTAATATGCTTTATCGTTCCTCTTCTGTTCCAGGTAAGTCCCCACGACCGGCTGAATTCCCCCGACGCCCAGCAGTTAGTCCAACATTAGAAAATTGAATTGGTTGCATTGGTCACGGCAACCAGGATCGAACCGGTAACACTTGTGGTCCCGAGCGAGCGTCTCTCTGTTCTCAACTTTGTCAACTGTGGAATTGTTGGTAATTCTCGTCGACTAATTAGAGTCCCCATTGGACAGGTAGGAGTCGTTCGTTCGGTTCGGAGCCGAACAATTGGTATTCTGAACGGACGGTAAACGCGCAGATTCGACGCAGTGACCTATGACATCGTCACGCGTTCTAGCTTTATTCTACGTCTGTCGCGATTCCAAATCAAATCACACAGTATGTTCGCCTAATTACGCCCCGGTGAGCGGACGTCCGGGTTTTTGTCCGCAGACTTATACAAAAAGGAACTATTGTTTAACTAGGAAAGTATTGTGGGGACGGATTCCGGCCAAACTTTATGTGTCAACATGGACACGGAGACAAGGCCGGGGCAACATTAAGGAAAGGAAGTTAACAAGCAAAGAGTTAAATACACTCAGCTTCAAACCTCATTTATTACGTGATACATCAATACTGACAAGCTTCCAAAATAAATTTAGCGCCGTCCAGGTGTTCCGCCTCCTGTTATCCAGTCATGGTCGGGTCCACCACCCATGCCACCACCATTTATACAACCCTGATCATAAACATTTGCACATCTCTTCCCTGGGGAATTATTATGCAACCAATCTTCATCGTTCGGAGCGCCCACAATGGCCCCATTGATGCATTTTTCGTCCAAAACGTTCACACACCTCCTAACTTTGGCGCTCATTTGGTCAAAAAGTTTGGCCAGCTCGTGGTAGATCTGTCGATTTTTTCCATCATAGGAGTTTAGATACAAACCGTAGGTCACAGAGACAGCGACGACTAAAATCAGGAGGGCAGATTTCATGGCGAAAGATGTCTGAAAGTGAGTAAATATAGGCATACATTATTCAGTAATTGTGGGGAAATTGCGGTGGCTTACCTAACCTAGCTGTGAAGAGTAATCTACCACGAATGGTAATAATGGGACTTTGGTTCCGATTTTATAGGCGTCCCTATCGCATAGTAAATAATTAAATTGTATTAATTTATATGCGGTTTAGGACAGATGTGGGATTATTTTCCCATTTGATATAATTTTTTTGTGATTGATATATTGTTTAGTTTTTATTGGGGGTACTTATGTCAATGATGGAACGTGTGCACTTTTCTTTACTTTGCGTATTTGAATTTTTGAAACTAAGATAAAAATTTCACCGACAAGAGATTTATTTTTTCGTTTAAAAACATTTTTTGTCTAATTCTCTGTTAAAAATAACCACAACCTTAACCCTTTTCTTTTAAAACCCTTTCAAAAAACGCTTGTTTCCAGCCCGTGAGTAAATCTCCCCTCGAACTGACAACCGTTTTTTTTTAACCAGCCATCGCAAAACGCATTATGACAACCTCGTGCATTAACATAAATCCTCAAAGAGATTTTTGCGAACAACCAAGCAACAATTTGTTTGCTCTGGTAGAGAGGTTTAAATCCCGGTGCTCTAAACTAATTAAATGTAAATCCCATCCTTACGCCGAGCAATTAAATATTAAGTTTTTTTGTACCCTCATGCTCGAAATTGCTTATTACACTTAACGAAAGGGACCAAGCGAAAAAAGATATAAATTTTCCCGAGTCGATGAAAGCAGCGAAGATAGTGATTGTTTATATAGCATGTCTGCGAAAGTTCGAAGTTGGAGTATCTCTCGAAAGTTTAAATTAAATCGTACATTGGCCATTACTACACAAGTAATGTGTTATTTCCGTTAACACTGGAGCTTTAGGAGCGGAGTTTATAAGTATTGTAAATAAAATCGGACGTGATTTCGTGCTTGGAACGTATTGGTGCTTCAATTGTTCACATGTGCTTGAACGCGTATCAGAGACGTTTTCAGGTTATCGTCTTTGAAAATAGGTTAAAAGAGCGAATTTTAGGTTAACAAAAAACGGGGGACTTAGACCCGAAATAAGCGCTATTGACGAGTTTAGAAAAAATAAACTTTACGCAACGTCTAGTTTTCTTTAAAATCTGCATTTATTTTATTAGTTTACATCATGAGCACATTTTATAGAATTTGCATAACAAATTAGATGTTTTTGTAAATTTTAAATCGTTAAATTGTTCGCAAGAATGTATTGCCGCTTCAATCCATGAATCCCATTTTGTCAGAACAGGTTCTGGAGGCAATGGACAATTGTAGCACGAGCGGAGTTTGGGCCCCTAGTTGTGGCTGTTCTTCTACCCACAACGGTTATTCTATCTATCGCAAGCACTGCCGCGATAAATCCCGCCAGCTCGACTAGGAACCGCGCCCTCCGCTTCTGCCACGTGTTTCAATTTCTATTCTATGACTCTGATATTACACGACAACTGAACAAGTGTTGCAAACAAAAGAATTACGTGAGGTTAGGAACAGCCGAGCATGAAAATTTACGTTCAATTTAAACTATACAGCAAAGAAAAATTACTGAAGTTAAAATTGTGCGACAGAGAAAAATCTAACAAAATTACATGAGTTTAATATTTTATGTTCATTCAAGTTATTGGTTAATTTTTTTAAGTGAAGTCATGCAACTGCATTGTGGGCCATCGTTTTACCTTTCCCCAAACAAACACAAAAAAACCAGCAGGCAATCTGGACGTTCAAAATAGCGTCGGATGAGTGCGTCATTAAAAAAAAAAAGGTTAAAAGAGCGATTTTACGTTAACAAAAAACGGGAGACTTAGGCCCAAAATAAGCGCTCTTGGCAAGCTTAGAAAAAATAAATTTGACACGTCTAGTTTTCTTTAAGATCTACATTTATTTTATTAGTTTACATCATCAGCGATCCTAATTTTTCATAAAATTTGCATAACAAATTAGATATTTTTCTAAATTTTAACCAATCTTTTTTTTTTTTTATCAATAAAATGTTCGCAATAATATATTGCCGCTTCAATGCATGAATCCCATTTTGTCAGAACAGGTTCTGGAGGCAATGGACAATTGTAGCACGAGCGGAGTTTGGGGCCCCTGGTTGTGGCTGTTCTTCTACCCACGACGGTTATTCTATCTATCGCAAGCATTGCCGCACAGCACCTCTCCATAACGAACAGGCCATCACGGTCGCAAACTCGTGGTTGGGTCTCGACTATTGGGCCAAGTCGACAGCGTCACGTCATCCCGACCGCCTCTGACTTCCATTCAAATCTGTGTCTTTTGTGCAGATGGCGCGCTAAATCCCGCCAGCTCGACTAGGAACCGAGCCCTCCGCTTCTGCCACGTGTTTCAATTTCTATTCCATGAGTCTGATATTAAACGACAACTGAACAAGTGTTGCAAACAAAAGAATTACGTGAGGTTAGGAACTGCCGAGCATGAAAATTTACATTCAATTTAAATTATACAGCAAAGAAAAATTACTGAAGTTAAAATTGTGTGACAGAGAAAAATCTAATAAAATTACATGAGTTTAATATTTTACGTTCATTCAAGTTATTGGTTAATTTTTTAAGGAGAAGTTATACAGCTGCATTGTGGCCCATCGTTTTACCTTTCCCCAAACAAACACAAAAAAAACAGCAGGCAATCTGGACGTTCAAAATGGCGTCGGACGAATGCGTCATTAAAAAAAATTGGTTAAAAGAGCGATTTTACGTTAACAAAAAACGGGGGACTTTGGTCCGAAATAAGCGCTCTTGGCAAGTTTAGAAAAAATAAATTTTACACGTCTAGTTTTCTTTGAGATCTACATTTATTTTATTAGTTTACATCATTAGTGATCCTAATTTTTCATAAAATTTGCATAACAAATTAGATATTTTTCTAAATTTTAACCAACGTTTTTTTTATATCATTAAAATGGTCGTAATAATATATTGCCGCTTCAGTCTATGAATCCGATTTTGTCAGAACAGGTTCTGGAGGCAATGGACAATTGTAGCACGAGCGGAGTTTGGGGCCCCTGGTTGTGGCTGTTCTTCTACCCACGACGGTTATTCTATCTATCGCAAGCATTGCCGCACAGCACCTCTCCATAACGAACAGGCCATCACGGTCGCAAACTCGTGGTTGGGTCTCGACTATTGGGCCAAGTCGACAGCGTTACGTCATCCCGACCGCCCCTGACTTCCATTCAAATCCGTGTCTTTTGTGCAGATGGCGCGATAAATCCCGCCAGCTCGACTAGGAACCGCGCCCTCCGCTTCTGCCACGTGTTTCAATTTCTATTCTATGACTCTGGTATTAAACGACAACTGAACAAGTGTTGCAAACAAAAGAATTACGTGAGGTTAGGAACTGCCGAGCATGAAAATTTACGTTCAATTTAAATTATACAGCAAAGAAAAATTACTGAAGTTAAAATTGTGTGACAGAAAAATCTAACAATTTTTTTTTAAGTGAAGTTATGCAGCTGGATTGTGGACCATCGTTTTACCTTTCACCAAACAAACACAAAAAAAAAACAGCAGGCAATCTGGGCGTTCAAAATGGCGTCGGACGAGTGCGTCATTAAAAAAATACGTCAAAAATATGTCTCCCAGAAATGCGATCAATCCTGTGGCGCTGTGTAAATAGTGGTCTAAATCAAAGAACTAAAACGCACGTCCCATATGACCCACAATGTTGTTAATTTGTTCAACGAGATTTTACGGTTCAAATATATGCTCGGTTTGCAAATGCTGTTTCAACATGGCCGCTGCCAGAACAAAGAATTTACCTGATGTTAAATTATGCCACACTTTATCAACGATCCAAACAAAGACATTATGTGAGCCAAGTGACTTGTTACTTAAAACAATTAGCTTTCAGAGTTTATATCGTGGACTATCTCTAGCTTATTCCAAAGAAAACACATGATAAATAAACAGCACAAAATGCATCCGGCGTTGCGAGGAATATGCGTCTCGGTGATGTAATTTTCAACGTTGCGAGAAAATATGTGTGTTTCATGAAATCTCCTAGCAAGGACTTTATCTAAACAAATTCCTGACCGTTAAATTGTGTTAGAACCAGTTAACGATCAAAAACCTAACATGAACGTGAATTTACAAACAATAAAACAAATTTACGCGCTACGTTAGCGTCGCGAAATTTTAATTCAAATTCGGTCACCACAATACAACTTTCATGCATTTGCCTACCACCAAAAATGAAAAAGCATTTGCCCTAGAATCCGCCTTTTATAGGTTACTAATCTACAAAAATTACTAAAACTGTCATCATAAAACTCGCTTGGATGCGCGGAAGCAACAGAATAATGAAGGACAGGTCTCAATATCCCTGGAAACAGGTCGCCCTTATTAGCAAAAACCCACCAAGCATTATTGAAAGACTGCAGTAATTAAAAGGCGGAAACCGCAAGGGATAATTTCCTAACCGTTCCATCAAGCTGACGCACTAAAGGAAAGTTATTAATTTAGAATTGACGGATTGACGCTGAGACAAGCTTTGCTTATAAAGTGTTTACAATTTATCACTTGACGAAGTAATTTTATTAAAAATTTAGTTAGGCAAAGACAGCTTTCGTTGTTCCAGTGTTAAAGTTTTATCGCGACTGGATAATTTATGCTCGTTAGATGTCCGTCAAGTCGAATTACGCTGAAAGCGCCATTACGGTTGTAGTGAGGTGATAACCAAAGCTGCAAACTCGTGACAAGTTCTATTTGCTGGCCTGACGTCGGAATGCAACGCTGTATATTCGATTTATTTGGTGAATAAAATATCGGCCGGAGTTTATTTTTGGATTCTTGCGAAGGCATTTAATGTGCTCAGTTTTTTTTTTACTGGAGTCGTTTCTATGTGGCTTCTGCAATTTATTGCGTTTGTTTTGCTAATTAAATGTATGGGGACCCATTTTTTCGTTCTCTGGGCACCAGAGACGAGATTGTTGCCCAGAGGATGTGATCAGTTTAAAAATTGTATGTGGAAACGAGTACGTAATGTTACTACCTAGTGAGATGAAGAGAGAGTGTTTGGACGAGAAGACTAACACAATTGAAGTCGACCGATATAAAATTTTCGAAGTAATAATAA